GCTCCTTTGTTCGCCAATCAATTGATCTTCTCGAGTGTATTGAATATCAATATTTAAGTGGGCAAGCAAAGTGTGGCTTCCTTGCTGCCCTTCATCCATTTCCATGCTCACAATGACTCTCATTTACTGTTGCAGATGCTGTTGTTTTTTTTTGTTTTGTTTTTTTGTTTTCCTGTAAGCAATAATTATTTTATCTCACAGTTTTGTCTTGTAATTTTGTAACTTGTTAATGGAAGTACGCATGTAATTGATTTCCCTTGTTATTTACCTTTATTTTTCAGTTATTATCGGTTATGTGTGTATAGTATAACTGGTCGCGAATGTTGGCGTTTTGAAAATATTTTGAGCCGGAAATGAAGGCAATGCAATACCCAAGCAATGTGGCTGAAGTGAGGTTAAAGGTATGTACATAAATGCTTATTTTATTCCAAATATAAATCAAATCTTATGTAAGACGAATGTTTAGTTAGATAATGAGGCTTTAGAAGAGATTTTTTTTATACATGTGACATTAGCAATTGATTGGCTGATATTCGCTTTAACTTCTATTAAAATATTTCTTATTAATCCATAAGGCTACCGCATGCGTAATTATAGCCTTTATTAGGGTGCTGAAATCAACATCTATTTCGCTATCTTTAATTATACCAATATATTGACTTTATGCCAGTTGGCCGTTCAATTTTGGACTTTAATATACAGAGCTTGTCGAAGGCAGACAGCGATCGATATAAAATGGAATTGTCGGATATATATAATCCAGTGTTTTATATGACACACATGCTTATAAGATAGATAGATTTTTTGCTGAGACTGTGAACTGTCTTTAGAAAATGCAACTGATAACTTGCTTGTCTATTGTCTCCAAATTTTCCGGCGATTATCTAACAATTTCCTTTAAGAAAATTCAAAATGAACTACTGTTCAGTCCATTCAGTTGCACGCAAAAAGCTATTTAAAGTTCGAGAAACTATTAAAGATGAACTTAAATCCCACATAGTACCTCGAGCTTAGCATAAGACTGAATTGATAAAAGTAAGAAATCGGAGACGTTAAAGCCTCTGAAAAGTGAAATCATCAAGAAGACTGAGCAATATTTGGATCTCGTTGCATGATGGTTTTACAACAAAGAGATGATGATATGACTAAGGAAAAAATCAGTTCAGGTCCAGAAGCATATTTCGACCACAAATTTATCGAGGGTCGATCAGCACTTCCGAAGCTCACATGATACGGGTCGTATCCAATATAGTCTAGTAGTAAATGATTTACTCTATGTATAAGCATTTTGAAGATTTCTTGGAAGTTCGGTTTTGATATCCTTCTGTGGTAGCAGCTGTGGTGCTCTTCCCTTCTCTTTGTTTTGCTGATGGTGATTGTGTGGCCGAAATTTCCCTTGATGCTAACTTTTCTCCATTTTTTGTCGGGTTGTGTTGGCCAACTTTAGTTTGTTGCTCTTTCTGTTGGGGCTTTTGTTTTGTTGTGGTGTATTCAGTTTTCTTCTAGTGGGTCTCTGCTATCTCCGCAAGTTGTAACAGTGACCCTTTATGAACTCCGTGGTTTTTTATGCCAGCAGGGAGGCGACACGAAGTGTGACACAAGCCTTTGAGCGAGCTTACATTCAGAGCTGTGTTTGGGCGCGAATCAGGTGCTCGTCTCAGCTGCATCTGTACGGGTAAAAAATTATGGCGAAGTGCATTCACTGTACTTGAGGACATGTCAGGTGAGAACAGTATTACCTTGCCAACTATTTCGGCAAGATGTCACCCTTTCATACNTGCATTCACTGTACTTGAGGACATGTCAGGTGAGAACAGTATTACCTTGCCAACTATTTCGGCAAGATGTCACCCTTTCATACCGAGGTGCAAGCCCGGTAAGGCTTGTGGACGCTTATTTAAAAATGGCATCTGTTGGCCTCTTCTCCGGAGTTATCTTTCCGAAATTTGGTATGGAATATTGAAAATGGTCACACAACAATCTCCGAAGATATGCCAGAGATTGGACAACTATAGCATATAGCTGTCATACAAACGGACCTCTCCCTCTAAGGAGAACTCTTATATTTGCCAAGTTATCTTCACGAAATTTGACACAGATTATTATCCAAGCCATCGCTACAGCCTTTGTAGGAATTGTTCCGATCGGAGTACTATAGCATATAGCTGCCATACAAACTAAATGATCTGCATCAAGTGCCTGTATAGAAAACTTTTCCATTTGACGGGGTATCTTTAAGAAATTTGGCAGAGAGTATAATTGAGGGTAACGCTATAAATGCTGAAAAAATTGTTGAGATTGGATCACTAGAAGATATAGCTGCCATACAAACTGAACGATCAAACTATAATCCTTGTTTTAAAACTCGTTGGTTTGGCAGAGTATCTTCATGAATTTTTGGGCAGACTACCAATAATCCTAAGCATTTGTATTATTATCAATCTTGCCATACAAAATAACTGATCAAAATATTGTGCGTTTAGGGAAAACTGTTTACTTACTGTTAAAACTGTTTACTTACTGTTAAAACTGTTTAACTTAACAAAATTTCCAGCGTTTTTATGCGAATAATTGTACAATCTCCGAAGAAATTGTTCAGGATGACTATAGCATGTGTCTGCCAAAATTTAACCAAAAAACGTTTTTTTTTTTATTATTTTTTGTTTTTAATTTTTTCTTGTATTTTATTTTATTTTTTTTTTTAATTGTTTACCAAAACTTGAAGGCTTGTCCAACAATTTTTATGAATTTGAATGTATTTGCTAATATTCTACTTTTATTTTGCGAACATTGCCTAAAAACTTCACTTCGCTCCCATCAACTCCATCGCCAGTAAGTAAAAACCAAGTGCAAATATTTATTTTTTGTATAAAAATTTTGTTTTATATTTTTTTCTTTCTTTCGTTGCGTTTTCTTTTTGTTCTCAAATATATTTATAAATAAATAAAAATGTGTGTTTGTTTATTTATGTTGATTTGTGTGTGTGTGTGTGAGTGTTGTTTATAACATTTCATCAAAATTTTCAGTATTTTTTCCACTTAAAACTAATTATTGTTACAACTACTACATACATACACATATATATATATATATTTATTGAAACCAATAAACCCGTGTAACTCCTTAAATCACATATATTTTTTATTTTAATCTTTCGAGGAAGATATTGATTTCGCGCTGATAAAATTTGTAATTTTTGGAGGCAATAAAGTGGTGCAAGTGGCTTTTGCCTTTTTGATTTGAGGTGCCGTTCTTCCATACGTAAAATTTGCACAGATCAGAGCAAGTAATAGTTCGAAGGCGCCAAGTCTGGAGAATATTCAAGTTGCATTAGCTTAAGGGTAGTCGTCAAACATGTATGAGGTTTCACATTATCCTGATGGTTAACTCTCGGTGGGTGAATTATGGTATTCATTGCCATTGTGGCTTTAAATTGGGTTTAAATAGCGTCCAAATAGAACTACGGAACAAATTCACGACCCACCCAACCACGAATATCGAAAAAATGAGTATCATCTTGATTTTTGATTTTTGATCGGCTTTGGCGTTTAATTTTTTTGGCTCGTTTTTTCCCCTTTTCTTCCGATAGTTCCCGACTTGTTTGCATGTCAAGCTTATAAACTCATGTCTAATCGGCAGTGTTAATGCAGATTACGGTACGCCTTTTTAAAATAATCGGTTTTATTGGGACGAGTCAAACAAGTACGTCTTTCATACCGAAAATATCCACCAAAATCATTCGAACGGACTCGCGAGAGTTATCGAGCTCTCTTTCCATCTCTCTAACGCTTGCCTGACGATTCGCAAGCATACTGTTCTTCACTTTTACAGTTGTTTTTTTAATTATTTTTAGTACATTTTATTTTATTTTTTAATTTTAACTTTTTTAAGCTTTTTTGTTTTATTTTTGTTTTTGGAGTGGTATTTTTTTATTTTTTAGGTTTTTATTTTCTTTTTATTTCT